CTGGAGATTGCTTTGATTAGTATCAACATTTTGTTTATTTTTATTTCTTGATTTTTGTTTTGGGAGGTAATTAGGTTTATTTATTTACCTACTTATTTTAATGGAGGTACTGGGGAGTGAACCCAGGACCTTGAACATGTAAGCACATGCTCTACCACTGAGCTCTACCCTCCCCCAACAAACCTCTCAGCTTTTGTTTGTCTGGAAACATCTTAGTTTCTTCCTCACTTTTGGAGGACAGTTTTGCCAGATTCAGGATTCTCTAGGTTGACAGCTTTTTTCTTTTAGCACCTTGGAATATAGTGCCCCATTGTCTTCTGTCCTCCAGCGTCCGTGTAAGGAATCTGTGTATACTCTTGTACGAGGCTGGCGACGCCTCTCTTGCAGCCTTCACGAGTCCCTGGCTTTGCCTTGAGAACGTTCGGCTGTAGCATAATGGGGCGTGGGTCCCTTTGGGTCCATGTTACCTGAAGTTCATGGAGGTTCTCTCTGGGTGTGTGTATTTGTGTCTTTCATCGAGGTTGGGGACTTTCCAGCTACTTTTCCTTCACGTATTCTCTCTGCCCCTTTCTCTCTCCTCTTCTTGAGGTCCCGCAGCGCAGACGCTAGTCTCCTCGGCATGTCTCCAAGAGCCCCGCGCTGCAGGCTTCCCTCCCTGCCCCCGCTCCGTAGATTCAGTCCCTGCCCTTGTCCTGTCTTCAGGTTCACTGATTCTGTCTCCCGCCTGCTCGGATCTGCCTTTCAGTCCCTCTAGTGAATGTTTCAGTTTAGTTTTGTTCTTTACAGCCCTTATATTTCCGTTTGTTTTTGTTTGTTTGTTTTTAGGGTTTTTGTTTCATTATTGATATTTCCTTTTTTCATACATTGTTCTCTTTACTTTCTCTACTTGAGTTTTTTGGACGTGTTAGGCAGTTGTTTTTTATCTTTGTCAGGTACATCTGCCTTCCGATCTTTTCAGGGACACTTTCCGTTTTGTTTATTTTTCCTTTGGCTAGGCCGTGGTTCCTGTTACTTTGTATGCTGTTTGACTCTTTTCATTGAAAACTGGACGTTTGGCTCTAACGTAACTCTGGATGTCAGATTCTTTCCATTCCCCAGCGTTTGCTGCTTTTGTGACTGTTCTTGTTCATTCTCTTTTCTTTCTGGTAGGCTGTCTTGGTGCCAAGCACCAGCCTGATGTAGAAGAGTGAGGTCTTCTAAAGTCCCTCCTGAGCCTGTGCCTCTCCCTGGGTGTGTGTGGCCACCTTCTCATCTTCACACACATTCAGCTGCGTTCAAGTATCCTGCTTGTGGTACTGGCACCCAAAAGGGGGAAGGAGAAGAGTGAAGGGGAGTGAACAGCGCCGGCCCTCTAAGTCCCCGTAGTCACCTCCCCCGAGCGCTGCCCCTCCTCGCTGCTGCAGTCGCAGCCCCGAGTCCCGACCTCGGGGGACAGGCTCCTTGCTGCCCAGCCTCGCTCCTGTGGGCGTGTGCACGGCTGCCTGCCCTGGGCTGGACCCTGGGAGCTGCTCCTGTGCTTGGAGCTGAAACCAGCCACAGCCGACCGTCCCTGCCTCTCCAGGGTTTTCCGGGCTCCAGCAGACTCCAGAGCTTCCGAATAGTTACATCTGAGAAATCCTGTGCGGGCGGGGAGATGGGTGCCTGGTGCCCCCTGCTCCGTTGTCTTCCTAGAACCCTTCTGACGTGCATTTTATTTGCTTCTCTTTTTTACCGTTTGTCTCTCCCATTGGTGTTACACCTCCGTGAGGACAGTGATCTATTTCCTGTTTTGTTCACTGTACCGCAGAGCCTGGGGAAATGGACACACAGTAGGTGCTCAGTAAATACTTGCCAAATGAATCTCTTCTGTAGTAGATAGTGGGTAATTGTGCTCAGTCTTGAGAACTGGGTTTTATTCTGAAGTTCCTGAAGCTGACACCTGTGCACAGTTCCTGTCAGTTACTCTGGTTTGGGCTCCAGCAGCTCCTTTAAACACACTGGACCCAGCTTCATGTTTACCTTGGTACCTCGACTGTCTTATTGATACTGATCCATGTGATTTTTTTAAGGTAACAACCTAAACTCAGGAGTCACAAACGAGCAGCTGCCCTGAGCTGGGCCGTGTGCTGTGTGCCGTGTGCCATGCGGCCAGCATGCTGGCTTGGGTAGTTCTGACTCTGAATCAGAGCTTCAGGTGAGGCTCGTCCTCTAGACAGGCCACCTTATCACAATTCTAGTTGTTTAATTTTTATGTTTCTTTGTTGATTGTCAGCCTGTCCGTCTAGGTTGTGAGCTTCACGTGGTCCCTTGGTGTGTCGCCCTGCAACCCAGGCCCAGCCAGTGCCTGGTAGGTGAGCAGTGCGTCCCGGAGTCTGCAGCACGGGAGGGGTGCACAGAGGAGTAGCCTGGCCTCTCATCAGACACACTTGAACATGAGCAGCCCTTAAAGCTGCCGGTGTGGTGGCTCGGCTCCTTTCTGAGGCCCTCTCTGGCATTGCCTGTTTCCCGTCAGTTTATGAGCCAGCAGCACGTTTGTTCAGGGGTTAGCATCTACACAGCACTTTCCATGCGGCTTCTCGTTGGCATAATCATCCTCGTTTTGAAATTAGGACACTTCGTTGCAGACAGAGTAGATCTGCATGTGTCACGCAGCAAGGATGCGGACGGGGGCTTGAACCTGGCTCCCGGTGCCGCTTGGTGCCCTCCTGCCAGGGCCTGGAGAGCGGGTGGGTCCCTCTGGCGCCTCCCGGCAATTCTGAATTCACCTGATAGAGCACATTAGAAACCACGGTGGTTTTGTGACCGGGCGTCTGGGTAGCTGTCCTAAGTGCTGTTTTCAACAGCGGAACCGAGACCTTGGCCACAACGAGCAGTCAGCCTCCAGCGCCCAGGCCTGCATCAGTGGCCCGGCTGCAGGGTCTTGAGCTGCGCCTGGCACCGCCTTTGTCCTCCCGGCGGGGCCCCGCGCAGCACCTGCCCGCATCTCACAGGGAGCAGTGCGTGCTTCGCACGGTCGCTCTCCCCGGACTGGACGCTCAGGGGCCGGTCTGAAACTCTCAGGCTTTCCGTTTGCTTCGATCTTCACTAATGCCAGCACGCGTGCCTTCACCTGGGGGGCCCTGAGGCTGGCATCTGAAAATACCCCACAGTCCCCTCGTCCATGGCCTGTGCCAGCATTCCAGAGTGGCCTGCTGACCTGAAGGTGTCCTATGGCCTCCGGTCCAAGTCGCTTGGTCCCAGGTCAGAAGACCAGACAAGACACGGCGCTAGGACCTGCTGCTGGGAGGCGGCCACTGTCTCAGGCAGGGTCCTGTCTTTCCTTTTCAGTCGAGGACGGCCTCGGCTGCCGCTTCTTGTGCGCTTGAGACCAAGAAAGAGCGGCTTTCCTCTGCTTTTGCTTTCTGAAACATGATACGTATTTTCAGATGTATTCTCAGATGTGGGTCATAAGCATGACCCGTAGCTGAGGTCACCTTTAGTAGGACAGCTGTGTGGAGCTGGCGTCGGTGATGGAATGCAGGAGGTGGAGGGCCAGGGGACCAGACCCCGACTGCCTGGCTGCTGTGAAGCCCGGCCTGCCCCGGCCTCAGCGTCCTGCTGGCCAGCTGGAACCCATCTCTGCCCTTCAGCCCGATCTCCTCGTGCACAGCCTGGTAAATTGTTTCGTGACAAATCCGTACAGACCTGAAGTCATTACCGTTTTTTGACTTTGGAGGGTTTTCAGATCCCTTCCTTTGACTTCCAGATGTGGCTGTTAAGGGTTTAATTTCTATGTGTGTGGTTTCTGAGGAGATTCCAGCAACCTGTTTTTACTGACGGTTCAGTTTATTTTATTTTTAATGCTTGTTTGAGAGGAGAAGGGAGCTGGGGAACAGACTCCATCTGTGTGGTGCACGGTCGAGTCTGGGCTGAAGGGTGGAGGGGAGCAGGTGGCGGTGGGGTGCCGCCCTGCTCAGAGTTGAGCTCCTGATGACAGACTTGTTTCTAACTTTCTAGCTGGAGGTTTTAAGGAGCCTCAGGAGGAGGCAAGCGCAGGTGAATCCCAAGTCACAGCCAGAGCCCATGAACCTCGGCACCCGGGAAGGCCCCCGCTCCTTTGTCACTCTGTCCCCTGGGGTGGGATCTCTGAGTCTGTGAGCTGAGTGCCGAGCTCCCTACCTCGCCTGTGGGTCCGGTCAGGCTGCCCGTCACCCCCAGTCCAGAGAGAGTGGATATGCCTGGTGGGCGGGGTGCTCCATGCTTCTGGACCAGGGTCTCTGGCTTTACCCGAGGGGCTGCCTGTCCCGCTCTGGCTGGGGTGCCACCCAGCCGAGTGGCCCTCGCTCCACTTGCTCCACTCGCTCACCTCCAAAGGTAGGAAAGTGTGAGCAGGACTCTTTCCCACTCACTGCCCCCCTTTCTTTAACCACCAATCTTGTCTTCCTAGTTATTTCTGCAACCAGCAGTTAAGAAGCATTTTGGTATAAAATGCAAAATTTGTAAACATGTCATATGCCATTTACAAAAAACCGGCCCCCTTGACCTTACGTGGGAGATTTACTTCCTGATCTGGAAACGTGGCCAGTCAGGACACAGCCTCTTCCTCTGCTCTGGTGCTGTCCCTTTTCTCAGACGAGGGAGGCCCCCAGACACCCCAGCAAGGCTGTAGGGCTGGGTGGCTTCGGGTCTTGCCCTCCGGCTGTCTTGACCTGCTCCCCCCCACCCCCCGCCAGGTGAGACCAGAAGCAGTCAGCTCAGCTGCCTCTGAGCCCCTGGGAGGCCCGGGGCCGCCAGTGTGGCCACGTGCACTGTAGTAAAAGGTGGAGGGTTTTCAGAATCTGAAAAGCACCCACAGACAGTTGGGATTGCCCGTCTGACCAGCTTCATCGCGTCGGGGGCTGGCACTGAAGCTGAAGCTGACTCCGAATAAATGGCCCTGGGGGCTTCTCCCACCACCATCCCGAGTCACTGGTTCTGATGTTCTGTTTGTTCTGATTCTATAAGAACGTGCCAGACTGAATGCACCTGCGCTTTTCTTACAGAAAGTGGGCGAGGATGGACCCCCTTAACCTGGCGCCATCTTTGCCTCGAGCAGAGGGGCCCCTGGGGCCAGGAGACCCGGGCTGGCTGGTGAGGTTGTGTTGGGCGCCCAAGGAGCACCAGACGCGTACGAGACGGTGTGTGGTTCTCTTTCCTTCACGTCAGCTTGCTGCCGGGGGCTTTAAACAGGCATGTGGAAGTATGGTGTATCGGCGTGCTGCCCCAGCAGGAGTCCCCCCCCCCTGGGGTGAGAAGGGTGGACGGGCGCTGCGGCCTTGTCTGCTCTCCCCTGGCCGTGTTGGCCTTGGAGATTGTTGGGCTGTGGGATTCTGAGCTCTTACAAAGTTGGGGTCTCTTTTTCCCTGTACGTTAATTTAGTTAAACCAAAGGGTTTATGAAGGTATAAAAATAACTACAGAACTATGTGTTTAGTGAGCTTCCTTTATTTCATAAACCAGAGACCCTTTCCACTACCTTGAAATCTGATTTCTGGGACATTGATTTCTGGGCTTTTGTTCAGTTGTGGGTGGTAACGATGCTTGCTTGTCCAGCTGTCTCTTGAGCCCTGACCCTGGGCCCGGGGCTGCGTGCACATTTCCACGTGTTAACTCATCGGACTCCCAGCAAGCTGCCTCACACACGGTGGCGCTGAGGCCCCGGGCGGGGAGGCCCCTCCCAGCCCAGTAAGTGGCTGAGTCAGGAAGTGAGCCCAGCAGGCCGACCAAGGGCCCGTCCTGTAACCCCGGTCTGCTGCTGAGTGTTTTCCAGGTGGTCTCTGGAACATCTGAACTTCAGGAGGCAACGGGCTACGAACTGGTGCTCGACTCTCAGACCGTTCAGTGAAGCCCGGGGTCTGAGGCGGGCAGACTCCACAGGGCCGCGGTCTCCAGGAGCCCGTGGAGCAGCCCGTGGAGCGTGTCCGCCACTGACCCAGGGGCTGCGCCTGTCCCCCCACGAGCAGCGCCCCCTCCCCGGGCCCCTGGGCGTGGCTGGGCCTCCAGTGATCTGGGCCGGCAGGGTGCTCGCAGGTCCTGGGACCGCCATGGGGGTGGAGCTCTCCTCGCCCGGCCGTCCCCTGGGTTGGTATCTGCACCCCCCGCCTTAGTTTGACATGAAAGTCCTGAGCTTGTAATTACCTCGGGGCCTACCTGTGTTTTCTCTTGGTCGTGACACGTCTGTGGTCAAGCTACACTAACAGACTGGCCATCGTTCCTGCCCCCAGAGGTCACCCTGCCGTCCTCAGGTGAGGGGTGCTGGTGCCTACCTTCCCCCTTTCTGAGGGCTTCCCATGTGCCAGGCAGAGGGTCTCTGGGCCCTCTCCTCTGCCCTAGGACTCGCCTGGCCTGAGTGTACAGTTGAGGGTGCGGCTGGTGCCAGTAGTGCTGGTAAGAGCTTGACACTTCAGAACCACTTGAATTTCCAGGCGGTCCGCGTGTGGGCTTGGCACCATGCAGGCTGAGAGGGAAACGTGTCCGCTTAACAGACAGTCGCCGTGGTTTTTCAGAAGTAGAGCAACGGAGGTTGGTGGGAAATAGTCATTTTTGCAGATGTTTGTCCATGACTGTTAGTTTCTCACGTTGATCAGGACTGTAGGTGTGTTTGGAAAGGCAGGTGAGAATGAAGCTCAGGTGACACTTGAGGTGGGAGCAGAGCCCTCTGGCTCAGGTCAGGGTGGCCCTTCCCAGGCCTGGATGTCGGGACCAGGGCCGCTTGGGTGCAGGTACGTCTGTGCTGGGGTTCCGCGCCCCTGGCTTCCTGGCATCCAGAGTGGGTGCTGTCCTGGGAAAGGGGGCAGAAATATGTTTTTGAACACGTGGCTGAGCACACGGGAGGCAAGTGAGGGCTTTGTGTGGTTGCAGGTCTGATGAGTGACTGGAGGCTTCGGGCCGGCTCGCGGGGCTCCGCTCTTCTTCCCAGCCTCTCCCTGCCCGAGGAGGGCCTCAGTGCCACGGGCCCGGGCCTTTCCGAGGGGCGCGCATGCTGCTCCCCAGCAACTCGCCCTCACTCCCTTCAGCCCGCATCTCCCTGCTGGCCGCAGCTCTGGGCGTGGCGGGCAGGGCTGAGGGCGGCTGTGGAGGGGACGGGCGTTTCCTAAGACCTGACCACACACTCGCACACACACTCTGTGGCCTCCCGACTTCAGCGGTTGACCGTGGCTCCCCAGTGACCTCTGGGGGAGCCTGGGCCACAGCCCGAGTCTGTGCCCACTTCCAGAGGGCAGCTCGCCTGAGGCCTGTGGCCGTGGAGGAGACCGCCAGGGCCGTCGGCTCAGGGAGGAGGAGGAGGCCAGTATGGTTTTCTTTCTCCTTCTGAAACACTTTTAGAAACATTTTTCTAGCATCGCAAAGACCAGGAGTGGGAATGATGCCGGGGACTTTGCTCACCTCCACAGGCAGACTTCTGAAGGGGGCTGGGCAGGGCTGTGTGGCGCCTCCTGGCAGGCCTCCCAAGCTGGGCCTGCGCAGGACGCGGCCTGAGTCGGCTCTGGGTGGACATGCCCCTGCGGCGTGGCAGGCGTGGGCCTGCTGCCTGCCCCTGTCCAAGCAGAGGGAGAGAAAATCGGCTCCACGGTGCTGGATGACCAGCACGGAGCCGGGGGCCTGGAGAGACGTTGCCGGGCTCGGAGCTCAAGTCCATGCGAGAGAGATCGGGGCCTGTAGACTTGGGGAGGACGCTTGGCACATCCCTCTTGTCACTGATGTATCTGGTTTTGGTTCTTCCAGGAAGAGTCTGCTGCAGGCGAGGGTCATGGACTTCCTCACCTCCACGGCCATCCTGCCCCTGCTGTTCGGCTGTGTGGGGGTCTTCAGTCTCTTGAAGTTGCTGCAGTGGCTGCGCATGAAGGCCTACATCCGGGATGCCGTGGTGGTCATCACAGGCGCCACATCGGGCCTGGGGCGAGGTGGGTTGTGGAGGCGGGGCGGGGGCAGTAGGGGGCCAGGGCTCAAGGAGCAGCTCGGTGCAGGGACCAGTGCAGGTGTGAATGCGCGAGGCATGCGGGTGACAGGGCAACTGGACTGTGTCACCATCCTCACCTGACAGAAGAGGTGCAGTGAGAAATGGCCCTGACCTTCCCCAGTGCTGGAGGCAAAGCCGGGGAGGAGGCTGCGTGTGCGTCTGGGACAGCAGCTTGTTGGAAGGCTCCCAGTTTTTCGGGACAGACACCAATTTAAAAAATGTTTTCCCAGCTGTGAGGGCCAAACAAGACATGCCTCTTCCTGGATTCAGCTGCGGCCCCGGACTGTGGCTTTGGTGTCTCCACACCTTCCCTTCGCAGGGCCATGCCTCCAGCTGTCCCCTGGGGGACTGGAAACAGAATAGATGACGCCTCAGCTGCTCCTTAACCAGGGTCCCCAGCTGAGCTCCGTGCTAATTTGGTGAACACATGGAGCTTCTGGGTCCCAGGCCCATGTGCTGGGACCCAGCCTGGAGTCAGCACCAGCCATGCCCGAGGTGGGAGCCCCTCCCATGTGTGTGCCAACCTCAGCAGTGTTCTGAGAGCCAGCGGGTCAGAATCCATGCTTACACCCAGCTCCATGGAAAGAGGCCAAGAGGCGCCCTGAGTGGGCACCCGTGCTCTGCGCCTCCTGGTTGGTGGTGGTTCAGCCAGCGTGGCTCGAGCACCTGCCACGTACAAGGCCCTGGGCCACGTGCTGGGACAGACGACATGAGACAGGGTCCCCTGCCTGCGGGACTTGGGAGGGACCCTGATCTGTGCTGCTTGGGCCCACCTCACTGTGTCCCCCCAGCTGAGACTCAGAGCAGGTGTGACTGGCCTGGATTTGTAGCCAGAAAGTGTGAAGCCAAGATCCAGTCCATGTCTTGTCTTGCCGGGAAGGGGGCAGGCCAGCGGGGAGGGCCTTGCAGACAGGCCCCAGCCTGAGCAGCACGGCTGTGCGGGGGCAGGGAGAGCAGGCGGGGCCTCTTCTGCAGGGCCCTGGGCAGGCTCTAGGGGCAGCGGCTCGTTCGGGCACCCGTGGTGCTTCGGTGAGGTCGCCGGGGGTGAGCTGGGTGTGTCATCGGATCTGCGGGCCCTGAGCCACAGCCGGTCCTCCGACCTCGCTCAGCTGCTGTACGTAGGGTGTCAGCAGCCACTGCTCTGTTGCAGAGAGAAGCCTTTTGTGAAGGTTCTACGATGCGAATGCCGTGGCAAGTGCTCCAGTGTGTACCTGTGTGTGCGAGTGCGTGTGTGTGCGTGTGTGGGTACTGGGTGTTACTCCCACTGCCTCTGCAATCCCCTTTGGGGACAGGAGCCCGTGTCGCTCCCCTCCATCTCCAAACGGCTGCCAAGGAGGACACTCCACGCTGCCCTCAGGGCTCGGCCACCGTGTCGGCTGCCTGGAAGGTGTGGTGCATTTAAGCTACAGGGGCTTGTCCTTGTAAAACGGAGGACCCCCGAGTGCTCACGCCAGCCCACTGAAGCCCGAGGTCGTGAAGAGCTGTCCTGACCCGTGAGCCCGAGAGATGGTTCCTTAGGACTGACTCTCCCCCGACCCTCCTGCCTCCTGCTATCAGCTTCTTCCAGAAGTGAAAGTGGAGCCTTCCCAGTCTTTGCTTCTCATGTCTGTCACTCCCTGCACAGGCTTCAGTCCCCCTCTGGCTTTACCAGGAAGCAGAGCTAAGCAGACGCAGGCAACCGTTTGTTTTCCATAAACCGTGTGACACCTGTGTGTCCCCCAGCTGGGTCTGCGTGTCTGTGGCCGTCAGTGGCCCCTCGCAGAATGTCCCTTGTGTTGTCAGGTCAGGAGGAGACAGGGTGAGGAGGCCAACAGGGCCCAGATGCATTGTCCCTGGGAGTGGTGGTCACCTGGCCTGGGAACGCAACCCCACCCTGACCCCGAAGCACGGAGAAGGCACAGCAGGGCGGGCGGGCGGTAGGGGCTGGGATCCGATGAGACCACGACCAAGCAGGGTCATCCTTGGTCGGGATGAGCCAGCAAACAGACCAGCAGGTCTTCAGAGCTGAAACAGCACTGGTTTAGTCCACTCAGCCTCCTTCCAGAAAGCTCCTCTGGGTCAGGCAGGGAGGCGCTGGCCCAGGGACACCAAGGAGGAGCCGCAGAATAGAAAGAGGGCTTTGCCAGCCAGGGAGCCCCCTCCCTCCATTCCTGAAGGGCAGTGCACTCCCCACTCCTGGCTTTGATGTTCCATCGGGGAGGAACCCCACCTGGGCCCCACCACTGCCGCCTCCCTTCCTGGTGAGGAAGCCACAGCCTGGACCCCTGGACCGTCCCTCCCACAAGCTCAGGGCACCCAGGCTCCCCTTGGGCACCCGGACCCCTGTGATACAGCCCGGGACCAAGGGGGCTCCGTGGCTGCGGAGACCTGGTCTCGGGAGAGGGCCGCCTGTGCCTCGTCAAGCCCCGTGTTTCAGTTTTCTTCAGCCAGCTTCTAGAACAGTTCAAAAGGCAGCGTAGAAGGACAGAAACCACGCTGGTCTAGTGCCTTTTCTGTGCTATGTCTGCTTTAGCTCGTGCAGTCCTAGTGCTGTTCTGTCTGCATTTACAGGAGAGGACAGTGACCGGCAGAGAGGTTGTAACTTCTAGCGTCACAGAGCCGGCTGCTCTTGGGAGTCTGAGTCCATCTCAGGAAGCCTCACACATGACTGTTCTCTTGACTGCAGGCTGTGCCATGAGCTTCCAGGGCGCTGAATGGCCAGGCCTTGCAGGGGGCAGGGACAGCAAGGAGTTTACCCTGCCTCCACCCTCCACCCTCCACCCCGCCGCCCCTCCCCATCAGCGTTGGGACATACGTGGCCCCCGGCCGGGCTGGTCACAGTTCTGTGCATGACCCAGTGCCTCCCTAGTTCTTGTCACCAGAGATTGGAGGGAACAGGTCCAAGACCCCTCTTATCTGGCCGTGGCGTCCATGTGAGCCCAGAGCTGTCTGCAGCCCTCCCATCTGGCACAGAAGCCGGGCAGGGGTGACGTGGGGAAGGGGCCTGGCATCACTGGGAGAGCCTGGTTCCTGCCGCCAGGGATCCTGGGCAGCCAGCACTGCGCTCCGGTCCCCTCTTCTTGACCATTCAGCTCCTTCTTGGTTTTTGAACTGCCCTGGAACCCTCCTGATAAATCCCCTTTTTGCTTGGCCTCGCGTGAGCCGTCTCTTTCTTGCCACCAAAGAATAATGACCACAAGAGGCGCCCAAACAGCTTTGGACTGTCCCCCACTGGGACTCAGTCCGCGTCCTCGTCCCTTGCCACCAGCGATGCTGTGGGGCCCAGGGGAGCCTGGTGTCCGGCCCCCTTCCTTCCCACTCGGCGGGCTGCTGCCATCTCAGGGGTCCTTGCTGCTGCAGGCGCTCGGCAGACAGCAACTCTTACCCGCGTTTGTCGCTGCCCGGCCTCGCAGGCTTTAGACTCTGCACTTCCTGCCCGCTGTGCTCCCCCACCAAGGAACGGTCCCCGGGCTTGAGGACAGGGGGCGGCCTCCCACCCTCTCAGCAGAGTCCCGTGCCCTGCACTTCCCTGAGCCGGGGGGGCAGCCCCAGCAGATAAATGCCTGTGCGTCGAAGTGCCTTGGGAAATGGGGTCACATGGCCATGGGCCTCGGCCCACCAGGCGTCACCGTCGCTGGCACATCACTTGGCCGCGCTGAGCTCCCTCAGTTTTGGATGTGGGGCTGATGCTCACAGTGCTGTTGGGAGCTAAAGATGGTTGTGGAGGGTCTGAGGCTGGCTCCTGCCTGGGCAGCAGCAGATGCCTCCTCCCCGGGCGCCGACTCCTGGCCGCACGCCCGGTCCACAGGGCAGCACATGTGTTGAGTGTGTGCAGAAGTGGACACGTGTTCTGAAAGGCTGGGCACGTGGGAGCTCAGCTGCACCAGGGAGGAAAGGCTCCGGGTCTCCCCAGCCGTCAATTTCATTCCTTCTTCCCCTAGAATGCGCCAGAGTCTTCTACGCTGCGGGCGCTAAGCTGGTGCTCTGTGGCCGCAACGCCAAGGCCCTGGAAGAGCTCACTGAAGAACTTGCTGCGTCGCAGGCCACCAAGGTGAGTGGGGGTGTGTTCTTGTGGGGAAGAGCTGCAGGCCCCCGGCTGGGCTGCTGGATGTGCAGGGGAGGCAGCTGGTGGCCCAGGAGGAAGTGTCTCGCTGATCAAGCCCCGACTCCAGCGCTCGCTAGCTTGTGGGGGTGGGTCCCTCTGCGAATGCTCCCCGCAGCACACACCCCGCTGATACCTGTTTGTCTCATTTGGGGGTGGTCGGGAGGTTGGCAAGGACTTTAAAATTTTAATTGTGGGAAAATATACATAATATCACTTTAACCACATCTAGGCTTAGAATTCAGTGGTATTAGGTACGTTCCCAGTGTGTGTGACCGTCACCACTGTCTGCACCCAGCCCTTTCCATCGTCCCCAGCAAGGGTTCTGTCCCCATGAAACAGTTCACTCCGCCTCCTCCCCCAGCCCCGGAAACCTGTTCTGCTTCCTCTGTGCGCGCCTGCCCTTCGAGGTGCCTCGTGTGAGTGCGAGTACCATGTGTCCTGCCCCGTTTCTGTGGCTCGGCTCGTGGATCACATCCGTGTGCGCTGCTTGTCTGGTGACATAGGTTAACCATCGCTCTAAGTGCATCTGTCCGTTAAATTGTGTGAAGATGAAGAGTAGGCTCAAGCTGAAATTGCAGGGACGCCCGCTTCTGTCACGGCCTGTGTCTTTTGTTTCTTTCTTTTTTTCCTTTGTGATCAGGTCCCTCCTTGGGCCATGTCTTTGTTCTACTGAGGTCTTTTTTTTTCTGCGTTTTTATTGAGTTACAGTCATTTTACAATGTTGTGTCAAATTCCAGTGTGGAGCACAATCCACTGGAGATCTTTGTCTCTTCACGTGGCTCTGAGTGCACTGCCTCGCCTCCTTGCATTTCAGACCTGAAGGACTTCGGTTAGCACTCCCTGCAGGGCGCGTCTGGTGCCCACAAACTCCCTCAACTTTTGTTCCTCTGGGGACCCTCATTTCCCCCATCCTTGACATGTAGCCGTGCCAGATTCAGGACTCTCGGCTGACGGTTTTTCTGTTTCAGCAGGGCGCGCGTGTCAGCCTCTGGCCTCCGAGTTCCCAGGGAGGAATCGGCTGCTGACCTTCCTGAGGATTTCTTTTGTGTGAGGAGCAGTTTCTCTCTTTGTTCTCAGATTCTCTGCTTTTGACCCTGTGATTGTAACGTGTCACAGTGCAGGTCTCTTGAGTTTATCCCACTGGGTGTCGAACCTCCTGGACGTGCAGATTCATGTCTCGTTAAATTGGGGGATTTTGCAGCGGTTGTTTCTTCCAGTGTTTTTTCCGCCCCTTTCTCGCTGTCTTCTCCTCCTCAGGTTCCCACAGGGAGCGCTGGTCCACCTGACGTGCCCCCGGGTCCCTTAGATTCTGTTCACGTCTCTTTATTCTTCTCTATTGGTTCCCAGGTTTGATCACCCCAGTTGCCCCTCTTCAGGTTCATGGATTCTCCCTTCTGCTTGCTCAGATCTGCTTCTGAACTCCTCTAGCGTATTTCCCATTTCAGTGATTGTACTTTTGAACTCCAGAATTTCAGAAAGTGTTTCATGAGCAAATGAATACAAGTGACCTGGCCTGAGAAGGACAGTTCCTCTCGAACCTCAGGACGCGTGCAGCCCACGGTGGCACCAGGCCACAGGGGGTGCCCTGTAGTTACATCTCACACGCCCCCTGCCCTGCGGACTTGACAGGCAGTTCAGGAGGAGCGGTGCCCAGGTCGGGGTGAGCAGAGGAGGCGAGATGCTCAGGCCACGTCTCCAGAGTGGACACGCTGCAGCCTGTCCTTCCGACCCAGGGCCCTCCCAGGGCTGAGAAGCAGGGGCGTGTGGCTCTCCCGCCTGTCACTCCAAAGGCGTGTTTGGCTTCTGTCATACCTGACCAGGTGCAGACACACAGGCCTTGCTCGGTGACCTTCGACCTCTCAGACCCTGGGTGCATAGTAGGGGCGGCCACCGAGATCTTGCGGTGCTTTGGCCACGTGGATGTGCTCATCAACAACGCCGGGGTGGGCTACCGCGGCGCCATCGTGGACACCAGCACAGACGTGGACAGGAGAGTCATGGAGATCAACTACTTTGGCCCAGTTGCTCTGACGAAAGGTAACGGTCTTGGTGCAGGAGGAGGAAGAGCAGTGGCACGGTGCACTCCGGTCTCCCTCGGGTCCTTCATCCCAGACCTGCCCCACCCTGCCCCTGCCCCTGGAGTCGGTGTTGTCCCTGCAGCCCCTGGTGGCTTTCTCCAGGCTCTTAGCTGCACATTCTGTGTCTGCCTCGTGGTTTTCTGTCAGGATTTGGCGTCAGCGTCATCTGCACCGTGTGGCCTCTGCATCCTTTCACTGTGTGTGTAACCCACAGAGCGCGCGGGTGTCGTGATGTTCAGCCACAGCTCTCACTCTAGGGAGAGGCCCTCCCTGGAAAGGGGGACTGGCGGACGCCCGTAGTGGTTGGGGTCCCGTCTGCACCTCCCTGCTCCTCCCTCCCCTCCTGCCTGCTGGGCGCGGGGGCCCTGAGTCCAGCAAAGCAAGGCCCTGAGGGGTCACGGGGGCTCTCGCTGCTGTTCACCCCTCTGCTCTGACGAGCGTGTGCACAGCTACGTGCACCCAGTGTGAGGTGGTGACCTCTGCCCTCTCCCCAGCGCTCCTGCCCTCCATGGTGAGACGGCGCCAGGGCCACGTCGTCGCCATCAGCAGCATCCAGGGGAGAATCGGCATTCCCTTCCGGTCAGCGTGTGAGTACTTCCTGCACCTCCTCCATGTCTCGGCTGATTTCCTGAGGATGAAACAACACATTTGCTGTCCGGCCTCCGGAGCAGGGTGCCTGGGTGCAGAGCCCAGCTCCACGCCTCACGCCACCTGCGACCTTGGCCAGCGCTCCATCCGCGCTGTCCCCAGTCCTCGTCTGCAGGGTTCCAGCCTGGGGGGGGCCGCCAGGAGGGGACTGACTGGCTCTGTGAGTGTGAGTGCAGGGCCACAGTGGACGCGGCAGGCGGGGCTCAGTGTCGGCCTTGGGGCTTCGGGGCAAGGACGCGCTGCAGTCTTCGTCCGCCCTTGGGTCTGGCCTCACCGAGTTCTGTTCTCTCACTGTGACTGCACCTGGCACCCTTGCTGGTCGAGCACCTGTGATGAGCAGGCTGGCCCGTCGGCCGACCCAAGGGTGCCGTCCCCCACCTCCCCATACAGTGGGGCACGTGGGAGGGTCCTGGCGGCCTGATCAGTGCCCAGGAGGGCCGAGTCCAGGGCGACGGTGATGGTGGTCAGGTCGGCACAGCCTGAGAGCCCTGGGGCCCGGCCACGTGTCAGGGTGCGCTCACTCCTCAGCCTGCAGCCTGGGCGCCGGCCCCAGGGAGGCTCAGCAGTGCGTCCAGATGCTGCGGAAACTGCCACGTGACTTGCTGGTGTCTGGGCTGCTGGGCGCCCCTTTCCTCAGGCATGTGCAGGGTCTGAACCGAGGATGCGCTGTCCGTGGGGACGCCGTGTGTTTTCCAGGAGGGTCCTCGCAGGGTCACTCTGTCCCCTTGGGCGCTGTGTTGGGAGGCTGTCACTGACGACCTGAGGGGCTCGACAGCTCTTCAGGTGCAAGGCCACCCGTTGAAGTCGTCAGAGGAAACCCGCAGGGACTGGGCGTAGGTCTCTGCCCCCCCGCCCCACCTGCAGGGATGTCGCTGGAAGCACAGTGTCAGTGACTGAACCTGGGGCAGCCCGCGAAGACAGTCCCGGGGTCTGGGACCTGTGACCATGAGGAGTGGGGCTGCGCGGAGGCCGCCAGCCGCCTGCAGGTGGAGAGCGGCTGGTAGGAGTGACGCGCCCTCGGTGTGGATACACGGGGACTGGAGCGTCCTGTGCAGCTGCATCTTGGGCAGCCCTGGAGGCGGCGCTGGGGGCCGGAGGAGCCCTTTCACTGTTTTACTTCCTTCTGAATTGTCTGAACGCTTTACCCAACAGGCATTACACTTCTGTTTTTGTTTCTAACTGTTAACTGAGAATAATTTCACACTTCAAAGCTGCAGGAGCTGTGCACACAATGCCCGTGGACCCGCCATGTTCCCGGCTGTGAGTGTGTTACTCCTGGTGCGTGTGCACGCACGTGAGCACGCATGTGTGTAAATGTGTAGGTTTCCTGAGCCCCTTGAGAGACGGCGCCCCTTCACTCCTACACAGTTGGGGGCGCTTGCTCGGGCTCTGGATGTGAGCAGGGCGGCCACACCCTGGTTGGTCCTCTTACAGTCTTCCAGAGGGAAGAGAACAGGTGGGAACAAGTGTGGGCGTGTCCCACCCGCTCACTCACCTGGCTCTCTGGCCACCAACCCATGCAGATGCGGCCTCCAAACACGCCACCCAGGCGTTCTTCGACTGTCTGCGTGCTGAGCTGGAGCAGTGTGACATCGAGGTGACCGTTATCAGCCCCGGCTACATCCACACCAACCTCTCCCTGAACGCCGTCACTGCCAGCGGGTCCAGATACGGAGGTGAGGCCCTGGTCTCGCTTTTCTTCTGTAAAAAGCTGCCTGATGACTCTGTGGGCACCTTCACTTTAATCTGGGACATACTTCCTAAAACTAGAGCGCACGTGGGTGGTGGTCACCTGTACTGGTCTGACCTCCACCACGACCGCAGCCGAGGCTACGAGTACCCCACGAGCCTGCTGTCGGTGGTTCAGTGAGTGATCCCTGGGCGCCCCTCCCCGCCCCGTGTGCCTGAGAGGGGCTGACCTAAGGGCCCTGTGGCAAAGAGCCGGTCTACAGGCAGTGCCAACTGACCCGCGGGCACGGAAGTGGGCCAGACGGCCTGGCCCTGTGCAGGCTCAGGCCAACCAGAGACTCGCTGGCTTCCGCCTCCCTGGCCAGGGGACCACACTGCCCCCCGAGCCTGCACACGGCCTGCTGAGCGCCACCTCCCTGGGTGTGCTCCCAGCACAGGCCCGACCAAGACCCCCACTTGGGCGGCAGCAGAAACCACACAGAGGCATCAAGCTGGAGAGGTTCATCCTCGTTTATCCCTAGAAGAATCTTTTGTAAAAATCCACTGGTGGCGTTTAAAAATAAGCGGTAATCAGAAACCCCCATTCCTCTGTTAACAAGAAGGGTGAGAACAGATCCCGCGAGGACTCGCCGTGGCTTCTTTGCTGCTGACGGTTCCCGCTTTGCTGGCAGAACCTTCAGACTCCTAGGGGCGCAGGAGCCTGGGCCGCTAACCAGCCCGACCCTCCTTCTCCCGCCACAGCTTCTAACCAAAGCTTCCTTCTTGCCGCTCATCCAAGACACTTGTGCCCTGGGGAACGTGGACCTGTGTTCCTCAGCCTGCACTCTGGTGAGCGCGCCCGACCCACCACACCGCCCTCCCGCTCGCAGGCCCTGAGGCAGGTGCGCTACCTCCTGCCTCCTCCCTCAGACTGCAGGACCGGATGGCGGGGGTGCCGCCCCCTCCCGACTTGGAGGAGCTCCTGGTGGGGACCCAGCACCCAGCCCGACGGCCCCATCTGCTTGGGCCTTGTGACGGGGGCCGCAGCTCCCAAGCTCAGTGTCTCTCGTTGTGTTTCAGTTACAGACAAGACCACGGCCGAGGGCCGCAGCCCTGTGGAGGTGGCCCAGGATGTCCTGGCTGCCGTGGGGAAGAGGAAGAAGGACGTGGTTCTGGCCGGCCTGGCACCCTCCCTGGCTGTGTACCTGCGTGCTCTGGCTCCCAGCCTCTTCTTCAGACTGATGGCCGCCCGGGCCAGGAAGGAGCAGAAGCCCAAGCACTGCTAGAGCCGCGGGGCAGGTGCTGTGGGGCCTAGACTCCTGCCCTCAGGTGGGGACGGGGTTGGGGTGCTCTCCTGCAGGCCCCTGGCCAGGCCCCACGCCCAACAGGGAAGGGAGCCAAGAAAAGCCTCTCCCCAGGGTGAGGGGTCACCACTCAGGGAAAGCTGCACAGCCGGTTTTAACCCCTGGACATAAAGGAACGGGCAGTAGGAGTCATGGCCCCGCAGGCAGGCTCCCAGCCTCCGCAGGCTCCCAGGAAGCGCTTCCGTCTTGAGAACTGCAGACACCCTGTTGTCCTGACCCGGTTTTTACATCTGATCTGCGGCGCCCGCAGCAGGGTCCCCCCCCCCCAGTGCTGGGGGGAAGGCTGCCTTACTCGCGTCCATCTCTGCTGCCCCACAGCCCCTTGTTCAACACAGTGAGCGGGTGGGAAGTGATGGGTCTCTACACACAAGCCAGGAGATGCTGGCTTTGGCCCCGTTTCTCTGCTGACCCCACCCGCAGCCCTGTGGTCATGGCACTGCTCCAAGCAGATGAATTTTCTAAGGAGACAGCAGCCTTTGCGGAGAGGAAAACTGCATGGTCTCATGTGGTCTCTGGAAAATGAGGCGCAGCACCTGGAATTCTTTCTAAAGCAGAGTTCTTGGGGCCTGGTGGACACAGCCCGTTAGCTGTGGCTGTTGGAGTGTAGTCAGAAAGGGTGCCTACTTCCACTTTCTGAAACATTAAAAATGCGTGGTTGGGGTTCACTGAGTGAGTTGACTTCAGTCTGAAGTTGAGGGGGAAACTGACGGGAGACTGCGGGTCTAGTGTGTGGGCCTCCCCGAACTGGAACAGAAGTCTCCGGGCACATCACACTGGCATCTTACCCCGCGTCCTAACTCTGGACCCGTGGAGCTTGTATTTTCAGCAGCTGCCCCTGAAATGAAAATGGCCAAAGCTGGCCTGTGTTTAGGCTGCGTGAGGCTCTTGCGTCTCCTGGGAGGACAAGGGCTGATGGGATCTGTGGGTGGACCCTCTCCCAGCCCCACAGCCGTGGTTGAAATGGGGATACAGATGTGATTTTCCACACCCACTATCTGCCTCCCTCCTGACGGAAAGAGAAAGACTTGTTTAGTTTCCCATCCGAGCTGTGAGACCAGGGGAGGGCTGGCACCCGACAGCAGCGGCCCCTCACAGCTCGGCCCAAGTCGGGGCGAAGCGGTGCCCGGCTCGGCAGGGCCGCACCCACGCAGCACTGGAGGGAGCGTCTCTTCTCGGACGCTGGCTGACCAGCACTTTCCAGGTGGCCCCTTTCTGCCCACTGAATGAAGCGGCCGGCACGGAGACGAGGCAGTGCCCCTAGGACCGCAGCTCAGCAGTGCGGACTCTCGTCAGAGGCACTGACTTGCTGAGGTGGGTTGTGGAGCTCCGGCCGTGCGCGGGGCCTGGAGCAACACAGAGGTCTCCTGGTGCCACTGGGTGTTTGTGTTTCAATCGCTTATAAGAGCTGAACTGACTTTCTGAAACTTACTTTGCAAACTGTACATCCTACTGTGTAAATAGAAAGTAACATAACATAGACGGGGCCACAGAACTCTGGCAGGACCTGGCCGTCTCCAAGGAGAGGAGCACCCGCACCCTAGAGGGACGGGGACCTCGGCCCAGAGTGGCCGCGATCAGCCCCGGAAGCTGTCTTGGGTTCGCCCCCCCACCCCCACCCCGGACAGCACTGTTTGCGTGGGGGGCTGTTGCCTGTGGGGCTGCGTCCTGAAGGGGGCGCTGGGCAGGCGGGCCGGCATCTCGGAGGTGCTGCTCCAGTTCCCGTCTGTCTCATCCTTGAGCCCTGGGCTGTTGAAGAGCCTGATGCTGACTGGTTCCACCTTCAGGTCAAGTTCAGAGGTCCTTTCCTCCCTGGTCTGAGCAGAAGCAGCTCTGCAGTGCTTCCTGCCAGTCAGTCTGAAAAATAACAGTGAAGGAACAGACGGCCCATCGGGTGGAGCCCGAGTGCAGGCCCGGCAGGCAGGCAGGCACCAGGCCCCGCTGATGCAGCGGCTACGGGCCAGCGCTCCCTGGCGAGGGGGCTTCCTGGAGGCCCTGTGCTGTCTCTCGGACTGGGGCCGGGCTGTGGACCCTGCAGGAGGCCTCTGCTCTCTCGGTTGGTTATTTAAGGCTGTTTCTTCAAGTGCGCACGGCAGAGGAGCAGACACGTGTCTGACGTCTACGTGGGAGGCAGCAGAAGCAGCTAAGTTGGGGAGCGGGAGGGAAGCCCGTCCAGACCTGCCAGTGTGGTTCCCCCCAACCTCCGCCGACCTGGGGCCCTGCTCACATGGACACCTGGGATGCGGGGTCCACTGCGGCACCACGGCCTCACCTCCTGGGCTGGGACATGCAACTTGAGATTGCCCTTCAGGATCCAGGCCAGTCCACCCAACAGGACGCACCCTGGTCGGTGCACCTGCTTCTGCTTCTGGCGAGGGCTTCTGCTCAGCTGACCTCAGGTGGCCACTGCTTGTCCACGTCTTGTCCACATCTAGCCACCTCCCCCGTGAAATCTGCTTTGCAGGCAGAGCACAGGACTCCCTTTCCAAATCTCGGCTGTTCACTACAAAAACACCTCCCATTCCCACCCAGCAGGCTCAGGAGGCAGCAGGCACTGCCGTCAAGCAGGTCGGTCGGTCTGGGGTCACTGCTGGTTCACCCGTGTTCCAGACCCCACCCCCTCAGCACCCAGATGAACGGTTAGTCCAGCCCCTGGGAATTAAGTCAGAGTTTCTCAAACTCTTAAAAGCTCTGGACCTCCCTCATAAAACAGCCGTCACCCCCACGTGCCCTTGACTGGCGTCTGATCTTCCTGACGGAGCTTCTCAAACCAGGTGAAAATCAGCCTGGCTGCTGCTCAGAGACGGGCCCCCAGGAGAAAGTGCCATGAGGCCCCTCAGGGGTCCTGAGATGGCTATGGCAGGGCCCCCTCTTCTCTGGAAGGAGTGGGGAGTGTGGGCCTCGGCTCCTGGGGGTGGGGGCTGCTCTGAGGGCGCTCCCCTCAGCCTGCGGGAGCAGGCTGAATGCGGGTCCACCTCAGGACAGCTTCAGTGCTTTAAAAACTACAGATGTTAGTTTCTGTGTCGTCCTAAACCAGAATGTCTGGACAGGAGGCCCCAGCTCTCCCAGTGAAGCCAAATGGAGACCCAGTGGCCACGTCCCCGAGCAGCACTGGGCAGTGCTGCCTTGGAATGGGCCAAGGTGGGCTGGGAGGCCGCCTTGGGAGGGTCTGGGCCTGCCCGTTGAAAGGCCTGCTGTGGCTACAAGGGGGGACACCGTGGTGCCCACACCCACCAGGGCAGTCACGGAGAGCAGACACCTGGGGTTGAAATTCTCATACTTTTAATGGTCAGCAGCTCCCGGCTGGCTCTGGATGGTACAGTTAACCACACACTCAGACCCCCCCGCGCGTTCACCCCCGCGGCGGTGCTGCTTCCACCACAGCCTGCTGCCCAGGCGGCCTCCGCAGCCTCAGACCCCGGTGGTCTTGGAGACCCGCATCTTAGTGCAGTGAGCTGAAAACCCCTAGTACACTTTTGACCTGTGATTCCTTTAGAAGAACAGACGGTGAGCCAGCGCCTTCCCAGGCCCCACCGTCTCGGCAGCGCGTGCCCCGCCGGCCGCGGTCATACGGCACAGAGCTCGTAGATCTTCTTTACACAGTACACCAGGGCCGCCAGCGCTATCGTGTTGTGCAGTCTCTTTCTGTGCAGGTCGTCCTTCCGGACCAGCACCACTGGGGTGGAGGAGGTGAGCGTGTGCAGGGGCAGGCGCGACAGTTTGTAGGCGTCGTACTCCACCTGGTACTTGCAGCAGGGGTCAAACTGCCAGGAGATCCCGTAGAGGGTGCAGCAGGCCAAGCTGAGCACGCCGGCCGGCAGGGAGATGTAGTGGGAGTAATCCAAGGGCAGCGCCAGCGGGGTGAAGAGGCAGGCGGTGCCTGCCAGCACAGTGGTCTTGTGCAGGCAGTTGCCCACGGTGATCCAGCGCGCCGTCTCGTCACCGATGCGCGTGGGCTCAATCACGATGTACTTGTACTGGGCTTCCAGGGCCTGCTCCAGCTCGTACTCGAACTGGTCCTGGGCATTCTCCCCGTTGTAGATCTCATGCACGATGTAGCAGTCCGTGGCCGACAGGCTCACCCTGGTGGGGAGCAGGGAGAGAGTCAGGCAAGACGCACCCAAGGGAAGGGCACCACACCTCACCCGTGTTTGCACCTCCCTTACAACCCCACACACACGGTAATGCATAGAGGACTTCCTTTCCGAGAGAATAAAATAGTGAAATGTAAGACACGAAGGGCAAGGAGTACCCCAATCTCTACAAAGTTGGTGACCTAGTGGAGTCAGACAGATCTGAGACAGCAGAGCTGCTCCCAGGGGAAAAGGATGATTTCAGCCCCGAATCACACAACACAGAGGAAAGAAGCACAAGGCTGGTGGGGGAGAGGTGCCCTCAGGTAATCAGGGAACCTGACAGTGATGCCCACACCTCCCGGCTGCAACCTGCAAACGCAGCAGCCTTGGCCTCACCTTGCTGGGCATGATGGAGAATAAACTCCCTCGGTCCTCATGGGGGACAAGCTGCACCAGGCGCCGAGCCAACCACTCAGAAAAAGCAGCCCCTTGACTTGACCAAGAAGAGGCGAGGCCTCAAGACGTGGTGACAGAGATGGATGTTCCCGCCCATTCTGCCCCTGGGGCCCAGGACTCGGTTCACTGCCGGTAAATGCTTCTCTCACCAGAAGCAGCCTGTTCACAGGAGCCCACTAGGGGCTGTGCGGCCCAACGTGGGGGACACGACCCCCTTCCCCCATCCCAGCCAAGGACAAACCCAGAGCCCATGGAAGGAAAGCAGTCCGGCTGAAGGGGCGGTTCAGGACTCTGGCTGGAAGCCTCTCCAGGGTGCACCTCCCACCCCCGGTGGGCAGACCTGACACTCTCCTGGTCCAGACCTTCCTGGACCTCCACGCTGCTGCCCAGCATGGAGGCATCACCTAGTTCTTCTGTCCTACGCGTTCATGGCACCAGCAGCCCCCTCACCCTGCCTCCCAGAGGAACGTGGCTCAGCCTGTTACTCCTACCAGACCCAGCAGAGCCACCTCCTGCCTCAGGGAGAAGCAGCCCCCGGTCCCCAGGTTGGTCAGACGTCACGAAGGAGACGAGGCCCAGGGGCCCCATCTGGCTGCTGGTGATGACCATGTCCCCCAGTCCCCACCCAGCAAACTGGGGCTCCAGAAGGTCCCCCAGGTTCCCCCTCCCCATGCCCCTGCCACGACCCAGTGTCCACTGAGGAGCAGTGCCAGGAGCTCAGGCATAAGGCCAGCGGCTCAGGGGCCTGGGCAGGCACACGCAGAGGGGCCGCTGGAGCTGGCTCAGAGCTTTGTGCTCAGAGACTGTGCACAACAGGGACCAGCAAAGGCTTGTGAGAACGACGTCACCCCAGAACCTCCACGTTCAGGGTGGTGGAGACTGGACCGGCGGGCAAACCCTGGGGGAAAAGGACGGGGATGGGAGAGCCGGCCGCTGGGGGCCCCTTCCAGCCACTGCTCCCAGGAGGCACCCGGCAGTAGCAGCTACCCAAGCAAACGAATCAGCAAACCCAGGCAGCAGCTGCACTCGAGGGGCAAAGCCGGCCACTCAGTGCTCTCGGGCACAGTGCTCACAGGACCCATAGGCTGGACTCGGGGAGCCTAATTAAGTCACAGCCCCCAGTTAAGCCGTGTGCACTGGGAGACGCTGTTCCCGGGAGTCAGAAAGGCCTCCTCGCTAGGCACAGGGCACAGGGCCAGGCACTGTAAACGGGGCCCTGCTGTCTGGGCGGGTTGGCGGGCTGTTTCTGGAAGAGCCCGCAGACAGGGACAGAGCTCCTTGGGGGGCCTTGGAGGAGCTTCCCCACTTGATTTCCGCTCAGAGGCTGACGGGCTCTCAGGCCGCACATGGCACCTGACGAGACACCTCAGCAACCAAGAGGCAGGGCCTTGCTCCTGGCAGGAGGGCCCCGGCCCGGAGACTTCCTCTGTGCTCTCAAGTTCACAAGCAGTGGGCGAGACACAAGGGAAAGGGAGGCACACTCACCTGTGTGTCCTGCTGACCGTAAGACCTGAGGTTGGGATTTCAGAGAGTTCTTGCCAAAACCCAAATCTACCCAAGGGCCCTGGCCTCCCCTGCCCAGCAGACCGGCCACTCTGAGTGCAGTGACAAAACAGGCCCAGTAAGAAAATGCCCCTTGAAACCCCGGCACTGGACAGACTGCTCCATCTTGGAACCACGTCAGTGGGCAGATCCCACCTCAGCCCCACCTGGTGCTCCCCCAGGCCCTCCAGCTCCCTCTGCCCTCCCCTCTGCAGCCTGTGCAGAGTCCGTCCAGGCTCCCGCCCCACTGCTGCTGTCAGGGGGCTGGCACAGGGGCACATATGCGGGAGGCACTCGCCCGACACACACCCAAGCCTGCGCTCCAGGGCTGCCTGGAGCCCCACGTCGCACTGCGGTCAGGCCACCCCACCGTACCCATCACCCACAAATCAACAGTCAAGCCCCCTCCCAGGAGCACCTGTTCTGCTTTTAAAGCCAAGCCGGCGGCACCCAATTCAGGAAAGGATGGAATGCGAGGGCTAGAGAAGCAGGTTTCCAGGGCTCCACGTGATGTACAAGGAGGCAGAGGACAGGTCCCAACAAGACACAAGCAGGCACCCCCACCCCCACCCCCGGAGGACCCCGCCCACCCTGCAAGTGCAGATTCCCCCACCGCACCAGCGACGGGAAACGCTGCTTCAGGAGCCAGGCAGCCGAGGGCTCCCCAGAGGGCCACAGCCACCACAGCCCAGCCACCCAGCGCCCACCATGTGCAGCCTGCCCTTGTTTCTCGGTCTCGAGTAACCCAACCAAGGAAGGAACCCAGTGAGGAGGCTGCCTTGGACCATCTCAGAGCATCACCAGCCCCAGCTTGAACCCTGTACACAGAGCAGATTGAAAAAACAACACATAGCTAATTGGGATCCTTTGAGGCTGGGCTGCCTAAGGGTTATTTCTGCTTTTGGCTGCAGGTGTGAAATGCCCAGTAAGCGCATAGTAAGAAGAGTTTATGCTGGAAAAAAAACAAACAAGGTAGCACCGCTTATGGAAAAGTCTCCAAGACATAAAGTGAAAAAAACCAAGTACCGGACAGCAACCTTTAGTGCATTTCAGAAAAAGTAACGTTTGCTTTTAGATACACAAGTCATTTCTGGACAGATACACAAAGACCTGAAAATTATGACCCTGGGGAGGGGCACACAGTGGCTCCAGAAAGAAAAGGGGTCCCTTTTTACCAAATGACTGTAGACTCTTTCGAACCTGGCAGGTTCCCTGGAACTCATGGAATACGGTTCCTCTAAACGCTTGGTCTGCACTGAGGTCACTCTGCGCCCGAGCCCCTGACTGGCCCAAGCCCGACTGGCCCCGGGAGCAGAGCACAGCCTGCCTGGGCCCTGTGGCTGTGGCGGGTCACAGGCGCGTGAGGCTGGGCTCTTGGACCTGCCTCCCTCTCCCCGCCTGAATCTGCTCCGGCAGCGCTCAGGAAAGTCGTCAGAGGAATCCCTGGGGACGCTAGTGGCCACCAAGAAGAACCAACAGGACAAATTTCACTTCCCCAGTGCTCTGGGCCCCCTGTGCACGCGCCCAGCAGTCTGCCTGGAGTCTGGGCCTAGGGTCCCCCACCTGCCGCACAGCTGGTCTCAAAGGAATCTGAGATTACAGAAGTACCCCAAATATGGGACCCCCCAAGTCTGGAGACTCCTCTGCAGGAGTCAGGATGCTCACAGCAGTGCCGTCTGGTGAGAGCAAGATTACTGACGAGAGAAACAGCAGAGTCACAGCTGCAAAATCACTCGCTGTGCAGTGGAGGGAGTGGGCGCTACACGCCAGCGGACACCGCGTGCACACGCGCACACACAGCGCAGACCCTCTGCTTGCAGAGGGGGACGTGTGGCCAGGATACTGCGAGCATTGGGCTTATTCGTTTTTTTCTGAATTATGGTAAAATACACGTAAGATAAAACTTTCTACCTTAACTATTTTTAAGTGTTCAGTTCAGTAACGTTAAGTACATTCACACTGTTGGGCAACTCATCCCCACAGCTTTTTCGTCTTGCAAAACTGAATCTCTGTCCCTGTCAACCCACAACTCCCGCCCCACCCCGCCCTCCTTTCTGTCTCTATCAACCTGGCTGCTCTAGGGACCTCGTGTGAGGGGAATCATACAGTATTTGTCCTTCTGCGACTGGCTCATTTCACCCGGCATCACACCCCCAAGGCGAAGCATGTGCCGGAGCTCCCTTACTTTTTCAGGTGGAGTAATGTTCCATTGTCCGTCCAGACCACACTGCTGTCCATCCACCTGTCAATGGCCCTGGTGGCTTCCACCTTCTAGCTATTGTAAATGATGTTGCTGTGAACACAGGTGTAAAATCCCTGTTCAAGTCCCTACTTTTGATTACTTTGGATAAATACCCAGGAGTAGAATTGCTGGGTCATACGGTGGTTCTATTTTGGGGGGGGGGTTAAATGGTTTTCGGGTGGTTCTATTTTTAATGTTTTGAGGAACCTCTATACTGTTTTCCACAGGGGCTGCATAATTCTTCACTCCCGCCACCAGTGCCCAGGGTCCCAGTTTCTCCGCATCCTCATCCACACTTCTGACTCCTGTCTTTCTCACTACCCGCTGTCCAGGTGGGTGTGAGGTGGTTCTCGCTGTGGTCTGACTTGTGCTCTGTAAACAGCAGCTTTATTGAGACAGAAACTCACCCATTTAAAGTGAACAATTCAGTGGCTCAATACTTTCACTGAGCTGTGCAACCAACACCACAATCCATTTCAGAACATCTTCCTCGCCTCAAAAAGTAAGCCCGCCACCCCCCATGTCCCCGCCGCCCAGCCCTGTTGTCACCATGCTCCCTCCTGACGGCAATGGCCTCTTCCGGGGGTTTCATGTGAACACCGTCCCAAAGCCTCTGGGGCCTTTAACACCCTGTCTCCAGGATCACACACGTGGTAGCAAGTTTACAACTTCACATGTTAAAAATACATTTTTGATGGATTTCACTTATGATTTTTAAAACTCCAAGACAAAATACCTGAGAAGAAGCATCAAAGGTGCTATGCATTAAAAATAGATCAACGGTGGTTTTCTTTTGATGGTGGCCGAACAAGTGACTTTTAAATTTTATTTTTCTTCACAGTTTTCTGTATCTTTCAAAAGCAAATAACAAACATGGGTTCTTTCACAATGGGGAGATTAATTACAAATCTTTTCTTAAAAAGAAAAATCTTGTCCAATAGCCCTGTATCCCCTGGGGTAAGGAGACCAGAGAGACAAGGGCCCTCCCCAGCCAAGGCGACCCGCGGGGACTCATCTCCCACTCCGGCAGGTTCCCTGACTACAGAAGCCCACTCGGGACCAAGTCCCCTCCACCCCGGGGCTGAAGTGCCACGTGGTCTCACATCCCTGCAGTCCTGCCAGGAAGGGAGAATTCATTCCCTGTTCCACTCAGGCAAGCACTGGACTACAACCACCGTCTTCTGGTCCTGCTGGAACCGGAAGAACAAAATCTAACTAGTGGAAGCACCTGCTTTAGGGCCACTTCCTGGAGCAGCCCTGGGCTCACTGGCTCCGTCCAACACAAGAGGTGGATTCTGAACTTGCTGAAGGCAATGACTGCGTTTTCATCACACACACCCCCACCCGCCAGCACTGGGCCTGAATGCGACTGGTGCCCAGCAGACTCAGTGGAAGAACATCTGAAATGAATGGAGGAGGAGAAAAACAACTATAGTAACTAAGAGAATCCATGGCTGAAAAACTAAACCAGGTCCAGAGTAATGAGCACGGGGACACCTGACCACCTGCTGTCCGCCAGGCGGTGGGCCTTTCCTCTACTACCCAGCTAGGAAAACCCGCTTTGGGCTCGGGAGTCAACAAAAGCAGTACAATTCTACGCTGTAGATTTTAAAGCCAGCTAGGACAGAAAGGCACAGGGCTTGTAGCTCCAAATACTGAGGACCGGTTCCAAACAGCCGCTGACATTCTCGCTGTTCCAGAGGAAGCCACTCCCACTGTGCTCAGGGACCTGGCAGCCCTGCCTTGGGGACGAGGACACCAGAGTGGGAGTCAAGAGGCCTGGGTTCCGGTTCCTCTCAAGTCACTTGCTGGCTTCACGTCCAAGGGCAAAACCCCTTGCTTCCCTGAGCCAACTTCCTCGTGCCCCAGGAGCAAAGACCCTGGCTCCCCTAGCGCAGGGACGGGACAGGATGGGATGGGAAGAGATGAGACGGGCTAGTCATGCAAAGTGTCAGCAGCAAAGCACAACCCAGTGTAGGCCCCAAGCACTGTTTACACGTCAGTAAAATTTAAAATCCGGTTCCTCAGACACATGAGCCACATTTCAATTGCTTGACAACTGCACATGGCCAAAGTCTCCCCTAATGGACAATGAAGATATACAGGACATTTCTGTCAGCGCAGAAAGCCTCACCGGACAGCCCTGGCTCCCAAACTCTGTGGCCCATCAAGGTACTGCTGGTGCCAGGGACCCAACACAGTGGCGCTAGGAGGCTCCTGTGTGCTTGCTCCGCAGAACACGTCACACTTCCACCGCCCTCGCTCACTGGGCAAGCCTGGGGCAGGGAGGCCAACTCAGGACACACGATCACCCCTCCCTTCTTCAGAAAGTAGGGCCTGAAGGACTGAGCCACGGAGGCAGGAGTTACTGCAGTTGGAACGCAGGCACCTCGAATGAATCAAGGAGAACGAAAATTCATGCCAGAGGATGACCCCAGCAGACCCTAACCTACAACCCCCAACTTCCAGGATCAGAACCTTCTGGGAACCAGGTGAGTAGGACCCCCAGCCCAGCACCCTCATGGGTCTGCATACTCACATGGCCCGTCCAGACCAGGAGGAAGGAAACACTCCACCATACACGACAGCCAGATGGGAGTCTTTCAAGAGAAATCAAACACCCCAGTCCCCGGAGGTCTCAGCGCTAAAAGGAAAGGGTCCGATCAGAACGGGGGTGGGGTGGGGAATGCCACCTCAGAAACGTGGTTCAGCTGTTCTGGGAACTAGACCCTCCACTTCCAGGACCACATCCATCCAACTCACAGATGAAAGCAAAGCATCAAAGGGGAAGGCCAAGGCCCGGGGAGTGAGGTGTAGCACGGAAAGCTGTGGAAGTCGTCTCGCAGGACTGGCCGCCCGAGAAACCACTGGGGCAGACGTCTGCATGAGCCAGGGGAGGGGAGGCCACAAAATGTGATTTCACCCTAAAGCCTGAGCACTCGGTCCTCTGAACACACAAGGCCTTTAAACAGCACTGCTGCCCTGCACCACGTCAGAACCAGATCAGAAGCATCCTCACGTGCTGTTCTCTCATCCAACCATCAGGGAGAATTCAGCGATGCCCAGGGCCCTGGGGGCGTGAGGACCAGTCGGAGGGGGAACCCTCTGTGAGCTGGCCCAGTGGGTACCTAGTGGCAAAACACACAGGTCCTGGCACTGTGCCTTCCTAGACAGGCAAGTGTGTCTCAAAGATGCCGACAGGACGAGTGGCAATCTGTTTCGGGTGCTGGCTGAATTCTTAACAGGAATTCAGGTCACAGCTCAGAGTCCGCTGTTGCTCATCAGGAACACTGTTGACGCCCTCGATCTAAGGGAGCAGAGAGGAAATCAACAGGCAAGCAGCTCTCCCTGGCTACTCCCACCCTCTCTTGCTGTGGTCCGCACGGCACTGCCCTTCCTGCAGCAGTGGACATGCTCTGCATCTTCTTGGTCCAGTACATCAGCCACAGGCCACATGCGGCTACTGAGCACTTGAAATGAGACTGGTGTGACTGAGGAACTGATTTTTTTTACTTTATTTAATTTTAATTAATTTAAACTTAATTGCCACAAGTGACTAGTGGTTACTGAATTAACACAGCTCTAGACTCAACAACCAAGTAAAGAAAGAATCCACAGTGCATTTTAACCAGGACCATCGCTAACACACAGCTGGCAACAGTAATCCTTGTGGACAGTCTGGCACCCGCAGTGCCTTTTAAGTACAATGCACACTTCAGAGTTCGAAGCCACCGGCAAATCTGGAAAATCTGCCCAAAGCACTGCTTTGCTCCAGCCCCTGCCCCAAACCTGTTTCAGTTTCAGCATAAAGCAGATTCCAGCCAGGTGCGTGCAGCAACTTGGGAACGTGGTCTTACAGCGTGGAGCTGAAATCTGAGTCAGCATGAATGTGACATGGAACAAAGTCATTAAAGAGCCATAAACAGCCTACTTCAGTCACAGGAGCCAATAATTCGCTTGGGCCTCAATCTATGGTATGGGCAATCAATTAATCCAGCCTGCCCCACCCCAAGAAAAGGCTTCCTACCCACTGAGCAGGAATGGAGGTGTGTGCCCAGAAGTTAGCTAGCTGGAGGGTTATGTTTCCATCCCCTGCTCCGTGTGGGAGGATCTGAGGGAGACCGACCCAGGCAAACACTCCTTCAGCAAAGCCCAGCTAGGGCCTCACACAAAGGCAAACAGAGTGGTACCCCCAGCCACACCATGTTATCCAGAAGGAGGACAGATGGTGCCGCCCAAACCACTAAACCAGACACCCAGTTCCCGGCTGGCACACGTCTGCGTGTCTGTGCGCGTAAGCAGAGTGTTCTGTTCCAGGCCAAAGGTTGCAACCTGAACGCCCAAGGAGACCAAGCAGGTAACTGCAATGAGTCAAGCTGTCAGGTGAGGAATGATGAGTGCCTGCCCTGACCAAAAAGAGCCACCACTCAGCTTCTCAAGGAGAGTTTCATGTGAAATCTTTCCATTTACAAGCACTGGCAACTAATTTAAAATCTCTTAAAATCGAGGGTCAACAGCAAGGACTGGGTCCAGCCTTCGGGACCCTGGTTTGCAAACTCAGTTTTGAATTAACACCTGTCTCAAACCAAAGAGAGAAAAAAAATCCCCAATACCTAATTTCTCAGATCACCAAAAGCTTAACTTTTGCTGTCACAGCCCCCGTACGATGTCTGAGGCATACCTACTCGGCCCTTTCTGTTGTTTTCATCCAGTAAGGAGGAATACTCTTCTCTCTGACACTCTGTCTTTTCTAAACGGTGACTTCCTATTACTGAAAGATTAATGTTTGCGGTAAAAATCTTGAAAACGTTTGCTAGTTTTTAAGGCCACCCGCGGAAACCATCACGGTCACTTCTTTAACTTTTTACTGGTCTGATCTAAAAAAATACCAGATAGGAGTTGGAAAAACAAAACTATCTGCTTGCCATTCACTGCTGCTTTTCCAAGAAAGAGGAACTGAAGAATGGACACTGTTGAACAAAATGCAAGCTAAAAGGGTCTATCAACACAATTAACCAAACAGGAAGAATGTTCTGGGCTGGGAAGATCACCTGCAGGGAACAGCAATGAACATGTGAGGGAATGAAAGGAAAAGAACAGCTCAGAGTACTTGAGAGAGAGAGCAGGGGGGGAGAGGGAGACAGAGAAAGAGAACTTTTCTATTTAACAATTCTCACCCCCAAAAATTAATAATAAAAATAATCAAGCAAGCAAAAACAAAAAACAAAAAAACGGAGATCTTCCTGACCTCTGCTACACCAAGCAAGTCGTGAAAAAAACGGTTAGAGCAGCTCAAACCAGGTGACTCCAACATACACCCCTTCCCACACTTCGGGTGCCTGGACACCTTCTAGTGGCTTCTACTAGCTGAAACCGTTTTCCAGAAGCAAAAGCTGTAAATTCAACACGAAACACGAAAAGTACTCCAATCTCCTCTTCTAGAAATGAGTCCTCCAAATCGACATCCACCTTGGAAGAAACAAGCTCCCAGCTCCCTACCCACACACCATCCGTTAGGAAAGGTCACTGCAAAGGACTTCCACGACAGGGGCGCTCGCAGAGAAGCCTCCCAAAGTCCCAAGAATCACCGCTGGAGGAAGCGGCCGGCTCCCGGCCCGGGAGACAATGCGCGGAGGGCTGAGGCCCCTAGTAAACGCGCGGACCGCACTTCACTAGCCGCAGCCGGCCCGCTCCGAGAAGGCGTCCCTTCCTCCGTCCCGGGAGCCACT